GTGTGTGTGTGTGTGTGTGTGTGTCTCAGGGTAGGGAGGAGGCTCTGTGCGTTTGTACCACATATGTGGCCTTGTGTGTCCACCACCACAATCAAGATCCAGAACCCGACATCCTCGCAGGACTTTCTCATCACCCCTTTGTGGTTGTCCCCTCAGCCCTATTGTGAGCGCCCAGCAGCCACTAATCTGGCGTCTGTCTCCACACTTAACGTGATTCATGACTATCACACAAAGCAAATCGTGCACCATGCATTCTTTTAATAGTGAATTTTTTTCATTCAGCATAATTTCATCGAAGTGTACTTATTTCAGTAGTTGTTTTTAGAGATTTGTATCGCCTTCGGTAAGAGACCTGCCCACCTCCACCTCTACCTCTGTGCCATTTCCCCTCCTGGATGGCACGGCTACCTACCAAAACCCTCTAGCAGTCTGTATTCATCTCCTTCTTCGGCGGGTCTCCCTGCCGTGCGCCTGAACCCACCTGACTCCTCTCTGTTCTAGCATCAGTTATGTATTCCTCACACCGTATCATTCTCCACTTTCAGGTAGAAGGTAGAGGTCACGTCCAACTTCCCTTTCTATCCCCAGCGTCTAGTACGTGCCTGAAACGTAGGAGGGACTCACGAAGTTACTTTTTGGCTGAATGAATGACGTTGCTGTTTGATTCTTACCCTGTGTCTTGAGTATGTTTTCACCCCAGTGAGAGTCTAAACTAGATTGTAAATCCCTTGATAGCAGCCTCCGCGTTCCGTTTACTCGTGTATGCTATAGGTCCTGGTTAGGACTGCCTTAGGTGTTTGTACGTGGCCTCGATGAGTATGTGCCTTTGTGTGTGCGGGGATGGACGGAGGGCGTAAGTGCTTATGGGGCTGGTTTCCCAGCTGCCCAGCCTGACTTCCCACAGTCAGCAGGATGGACCTGGAGATGTCGGGGCTGAGGACCCTAGAGCACGTGGCCGTGACCGTCTCCATCAGTCATCCACGACGCGGCAGCTTGGAACTCAAACTGTTTTGCCCCAGTGGCATGATGTCCCTCATCGGCGCCCCCCGCAGCATGGACTCGTACGTACACCTGTCTGTCCCTTCTGAGCTCTTTTTGCAACAAGGGTCTTTGCGGGGAAGAGATACGGGAAAAGTGGACTCTGGCACCGGCCTGAGCTATCATGGCACCGGCTGACTGTGGCAGCTGGAAGCCATTTCTGACCTGCTTTGTACAAGTCACTTACAATGTGCTAAGCGCCGCACTTGACAGATATTTTCTCTAATCCTTTGTAAGCTGCCTTTACAAATGCGGAAACAAGTCACAGAGTAGGAAGTGCCTGAAGAAGTAACGGGAAGCCTAGATCTGTGGAGCTCCCGCAGCCTGTGGTCTTGCCACCTTTACTTTTCCCATGAGGACACATCGATGCGAGTCCTCTGTCCCATTCCCAGGGGACGGAGGCAGCACTGGAGGACCCCTCAGGGCACGCTCCCTAGTGACTGTAGCTCAGGCAACAACTGCTACATTTTCATGGCTGCTCCAGGGAGGAAATCACGTCTGTGGGCCGAGGGTCAGTTCCCTGCCCCGCGCCTACCAGGTTTTCCACTCTGTTTTTCCCCCAGAGATCCCAATGGCTTCAATGACTGGACCTTCTCCACTGTGCGATGCTGGGGGGAGAGAGCGAAGGGGACTTACAGACTTGTTATCAGGGATGTGGGTAAGCCTGCCTGCCCTTCCATCTGGTCCCTCTGGAGCTCAGAGTCCCCGCAGAAACCGTCCCACGGGGAATACGTAGGGTCGCCATTGGACCAACAGGGTAGATGCCAAGAAGTACGCCCCATCTAGAATATGGGCACCGAAATCTGAACTTGTTCGTTGGTACTCCCTCTCATATTCCTTGGAGAAGTGACTGATCCATTTTTCCTCAGGATAGCAACAAAAATTCCTTGTTGAAACCACATTTCAAGTCCTTTCACATATAACCGTCCTTCGGCCAGCCCTGGTAGGCAGGTAAGGGCAGGACTAATTTTCACCGTTTTTTGGTTTTGTTTTTTGTTGTTTTGGTTTTTTGGTTTTTTCTTTTTTTTTTTTTTTT